GGGGGGGCAGGGCACCTGCGAGGCTGAGAGCCTGAGCTTGGGGCCTGACCGGACCCAGGCCGCCCTGTGGGTCAGCAGTGCTGCCTATGCCCACCGGGGGGCTGCCGATGGGAGGCTGAGACCCGCCACCCCAGGGCAGGCGGCCCTCCTGCCCGCCTCACCAGCAGAAGGCTGCAGGCCCGGAACCTGGACCAGCGGCTCTCCCTGGAGGCCGCGTACGGGGCTCCTCAGAGGGTGTGCGCCTGGGGCCTGTGCCCCGCCTCCACCGGCCGCGCCCACTACCTTCCGGGCCAGTCCCCCCACAAGGTCCGTCCTTCCAGTAGGGAGCCACAGAGGCGCCGGCCGCCATGGGGTGGGGGTCGGGCCAGAGTCAGGGCAGGCAGCGCCGGTGCGTGTCCTCGGCCTCCCAGATGTCGTCCTCGTTAGAGGGCTGGATGTGGTTGCCGCAGCGGGCCTCAAGCAGGGTAGCGCTGGGCTGAGAGGGACAGCACGTCTCGGGCAGGCTGGCCGGGCCCTCCCCTCCGGCCCTCGGGGGCTGGGCAAGGTCCTGCCCACAGGCCCGCGCTGGGGAGGGCTGGGGGCTGCCGGCCAGGTGACGCTGCCGTCCTGCTCTGCAAACTCCTCGTTGTTGAAGCCAAACTGGTCCACGAAGGTGGCGGCCATCTGCTGGACCTGGTACTCGAAGAAGGCCTGGGGGAGACGCCACCGCTCAGACCAGGCTGCGTGGCCCTGCCTGGCCCCTCCCGAGCCGACGTGGGCAGGGCTGGGAGGGCCACTTCCACAGAGCTCTGGGTGCGTCTCAAAGGGGGGGGCAGAGCGCCCCCCGCAGAGGCTGGCCTTGGCCACAAACAGCAGCTGGGCCAGACCCACCCCTCAGGTCGGCGACCCCACACCCCTCCCTGCGCCCTGAGACACCCATCCGACCCGCCTGGTGTCCAGCAGGGTCAGGAGCACCTGCGTCCCGCTGACCAGGCAGCTCTCCATCCGCTGACCGGCGAACATGCTCCTCAGCGGCTGCTCCGCGCACTCCTGCCTGCAGACGCAGGGTCAGCGCTGCCGGCCAGCCGTCCCGGCCCCCCACGCCTGCGCCCCCCAGCCCCGCGGCCCCCATTCACGACTGCAGGGACGCCAGGAGCGGGTTGGGCTCAGGGGCCCCCAACATTCGGTGCAGCTAAAGCATGTAAGTGGGGCCTGCCTGTGACCCAGGGCCCAGCCGCCTGGGTCTGGGGGTGTCGGGGATGTCCGATCAGGGAGTGTCCCCAGGGTGCAGCGGGCCCCGCCTGTCCCCCGCTACCCCCTCAGCAGTGGGCTTCAGTAAATCCACCTGCTCTGCTCCCCACCGCCTCTGGGACGTCCTCTCACCGCCCCTGCACCCCAGTTCTGGGTGCACCCATAAACCTCCCAAAAAGGAAAACGAACGACCTCGGCAGACGCAGCAGCCAGCGGCCTGTGGCCGACTGTGCCCGGGGCCTGGGTGGGGCTCAGGCCCCGCGAGGCGATGCTCGCCGCCGGCCTCGGGGCCTGTGGCCTCAGACCTGGGCGCACCCAAGGGGGCTCCCGAACACGCTTCCCGGGGACGGTGCGCGCAGGGCCAGTGGGCCGGCGAGTGTGAGCGGTCTGGGGGAAGCACGGGGCGGCCGGGATCACAGGCACCAGCGGGAGAAGAGCCCCTCGGCGGGGTGCGCGACCGAACCACCGGCCGGCCCCAAGGCCTGGCGCAGGGCAGCGTCAGAGGACGGACGGGGGCCCTGCCCGCAGGGCCCAGAAAAGACTGCGCGGCGCCCGCCTAGCGCGTCACGGCCCGGCGCGC